CATTACTTCATTTGATAATAGAGCAAAATTTCTCTGGAAGTTCGTTATGGAAGCTCTTTACGTTGTAATTTGTATTTTTTATCCGAGTCGATCTTGTCGTTCTTTTTCTGTGATTTTGGCATTTTCAGACCCCCGTCCGAATTTTTACGTCAGAACAAGTTGAAAAAGCCTTAGTCACATGGTATTCCAGAGTGTTAGTTGCAACTAAGTTTAAGCACAGCTCCGAAATATCGTTTCTTTTTGCAGGAAATAACTGATGTAACGGATGTCGAAATGGCAATCGCGACTTTGGATTCATTAGACTGGGACTTGGAGAAAGCAGTTGATACTCATGTAGGTGGTGCTAGTGCAGATTCTGACGCGGGAGATTATAGCACTTCTATTGATGTGAAGCGTTTCGGCGAACATAGTGACAATGGGTTTGTTTTTATGTAAAAAAAAAATATGTGGAGTTTTTTGTACTGGAGAAGCTCATCTTACAGAAGTACGCTTTTTTTAGCTTACCAAAATTTCAAATAACTCTACTTTCCGGATAATGAAGGTTGCTCAGTTACTTGTTTTTGTTTCAAAGTGGTCATTATTGTGTTATTACAGCCATCTGCAGTACGACATTTTTGAGGGGTTTTTGTGTACTAAGCGGGGAAATAAAACAGTGGTAGTTATAATGAAAGTGTAAACATTAGTTTACTTAGATCTGGGTCGTGTTTTTTATTAAAGCGACTATTTTGCTTGGGAATAAGTTTAAATCTTCCTAAACGTTTCATTTACAGAATATTCAGTGATGTGTACACGACTGGGAGTGCTAGTGATGAGAAAGATGATGTGAGTATCGCAGGTTCGTCAGCACGACGTAAGGGAACAAAAGAGATGCGGAAAAATTCAAGACCAAATGGTATGGTTTTAAATAGTGGTAGCATTTGTGTTCTGAAGGATTTTCAACAGTCCTAAAGTCGAAAGCAGGTGGTGAATTATTTTCGTTTTTTTAAAATACTCTGACTTCTGATTTAAGCTTTACTTTATTATTTTTTTCTTTTGTTGAGGCTTAAGATTAGACAAAGATTATTCACTGAACTGTAAGGAGCTGCTGCTGAGATTTAACTTTCTCTGTGCCTCTGGGTTGTACAAAATTTCTGCTTTCTGTCTTTTCTCTTTTTAATTAACGGCAAGAGAACATATATGCTTTAGTTTCTGTTACAGCTAATTTTCATTAGTCAAATGAATAGTACGTGACCGAATGTGATTTTTATCTCCACCATTAAACGTCTCTTTATGTCTTTGTTGATCATCTTGCTTTCGTTGTTTTATGGATTTTTATTGAGATAAGACTGTGGCGAGTTATTAAGGGTGTAGGACATACGGAAGCAAGCGGGATAATTCAGGATAACTTAGTTGCTTTAATCACTTTAATCATCACTTTCTTTAATATAGGGTAAGGGACTCAGAGATTGCTCGAGTTTGGTGGCTGTTTATGAGATCATGGTCTTGATCTAAAAAAATTAAGCTTATTGTTCAAATACTAAAAAAATTTGCTTTATTAAGTAAGGTTAATGGCTGGGGCTTTTAATTTTTCCTTAATTGGATCTGTCTCGTTTTCCATTACTTTGAAGGCAGCCTTGTAACACTGTCCTAGGTGAATTCATTTAAGGTTAGTGACAGACTAATTCTAGTTGATAGGATGCGATTCAAAAATCTTCATAAGTTCACAAATCTTACAAGTGGTGCTGATGGTGGTCCCGATTGCTTTTTATTTTTGAGTTTAACCGTTACAGAATATGCAAATTATTCTCCTTTCTTTGTTAATTGATGCAAAAAGAGTTGTTTCACAGTAGTCTGAATGAAGTATAAATTTTTTATATGTATTTCCTCTGAAGGGAAAATTGTGACAGCAGCTGGCATCACGGGTAAGTTTTTATGGAAATTTTCAGTAGAAGAATTTTTTTTGGCTCACCGGGATATTATAAAGGACTGGAAAATATTTGGTCTTGTGATTTGGTCTACGTTTATAATTCTTTTTCAAAACAAGCACTTACTATTATCTCCATACCAGGTCAGGCATTGCAGTTGCGCGGTGGCTTGCATTTGCCGTTAATTATACTTGATTTTCTATTTTTGTTTTCAGTCTGGACTTGGAAGGATTTGTACTGGTGTATTTTGCTTTTATTGGCTGTTCAGTTAACTGTTCTTA